CAATACCCCAAATTTGGGGACAGCAAACAGGACAGCAAATGCAGGGTGTAATGGACAGCCTCATCCCGGAAAAAATACCTTCATGATCACAGCATCTCCCCTCTTGGGTTAGTTTCTAAGTTTTTTTTCTTTTATAAATTTTTATTTAAGCTAAAAACAATCTTATTTTACATACCAATTCCAGTTCTTTCTCCCTCCTGTCCTCTCATGCCCCCTACTAACCCCCATCCCACCTCCCATCCACTCCCCAGGGAGGGATCACCAAAGTCTGACACATCATTTGGGGCAAGACCTAGGCCCTCCCCCGTCTATCTAGGCTGAGAGAGTTTCCCTCCATAGGGAATGGGCTCCAAAAGCCCATTTGTACAATAGGGATAAATACTGGTTTCACTGCCACAGGCCCCATAGACCGCCCAGGCCTCCCAACTGACACCCACAGTCAGGGGGCCTGGTTCGGTCTTATGCTGTTTCCCTAGCTGTCACACTGGGGTACATGAGCTCCCACTTGCTCAGGTCAGTTGTTTCTGTGGTTTTTCCAGCCTGGTTGTGACCCCTCTGCTCATCACTCCTCCCTCTCTACAACTGGATTCCAGGAGTTCGGCTCAGTGCTTGACTGTGAATCTCTGCTTCTAAGTTCTTTCTTTAAAAGATAACAGTTCTTATTGTATTGTGATTTTGATAGAAATTCTCTAAAACTGACTTTACTCGATACATGTTCTCAACAAAGCCTTAAATAGTAAATTATACCCATCACTCATTATGACCATTCCAAGAGCTACCCTTGACTTACATTGCTGGGTATTTTCCTGGTGGGGCTGGCTTGCTCCATCTTTGCTTCTGGTTGGTTCAGAACTGAGAGCCTCTCCATCTCCAGCACTCACCTTCTGGACTGAGCACTGATGTAATCTTCTACTCCAGAGTGACTCAGCCACTGTGCATGGAGAGGGAGGAGAAGGGAAACAGAGAAATGAAAAATCAAAAGAGAAGGAAAAAGGAAGGCTTGAATCCAGGAAGGAAAGATGAGGAAGAAAGATGAGTGAAGCATAAACAGAGGAGGAAAACAAATGATTGCTATAGAAAGAAAACAAAGAAAAAAGATGGAGGAAAAAAATCACCTATTCAGAAATGAATTTTGTACATCATGTCTTCTGATCATGTGGTACATTTAAACAATGGAGTACTACTAAGCGGGGGAAAAAAAACAATGGAATCTTAAAATTCGCAGGCATATGGATGGAACTAGAAGAAACCATCCTGAGTGATGTAACCCAGTCACAAAAAGACAAACATGGTATGTACTCACTCATATATGGATTTTAGACATAGAGCAAAGGATTACCAGCCTACAGTCCACACCACCAGAGGAGCTGGGAAACAAGGAGGACCCTAAGAGAGACACACATGGTCCCCTGGAGAAGGGGAGAGGGTCAAGATCTCCTGAACAAATTGGGAGGGGGTTGGGGAAAAGGATCTAGGAGAATGAGAAGGGGAGAAGTGGGGTGAGGAAGACATGGGGGAGCAGGAAGGTTGAGTTGAGGCAAGAATACAGGAGAGCAAGAAAAGAGATACCATAACAGAGGGATCCATTATAGGTTTAAAGAGAAATCAGGCACTAAGGAAATATCCAGAGATCTACAAGGATGACGCCAACTAACAACCTAAGCAACAGTGGAGAGGCTACCTTAAATTCCCTCCCCTGATAATGGGATTGATGACTACCTTATATGCCATCCTAGAGCCTTCATCCAGCAGCTGATGGAAGCAGAAGCAGACACCACAGCTAAACACTGAACTGGAATCCAGTTGCAGAGTGGGAGGAGTGATGAGCAAAGGGGTCAAGACCAGGCTGTTGAAACCCACAGAAACCCACAGAAACAGCTGACCTGAACAAGGGGAGCTCTTGGTCCCCAGACTGATAGTTGGGAAAACAGTTCCCAATTTGGAAACTGATCCAGACCCCCCTAAACATGGGTGTCAGTGAGGAGGCCTCAGAAATCTATGGGGCCTCTTGTAGTGGATCAGTACTTCTCCCTAGCATAGGAATGGACTTTGGGAGCCCATCCCACATGGAGCAATATTCCCTCAGCGTAGACACACGAGGGAGGGCCTAGGCTCTATCCCAAAGGACATGACAGACTCTGAAGATCCCCATGGAAGGCCTCACCCTCCCTGGGGAGCAGAAAGGGTATGGGATGGGTAGGGTGTTAGAGGGGGGCAGGGGAGGAGGGGAGGAAGAGGGAACTGCGATTGACATGTAAAACAATCTTGTTTCTAATTTAAATAAAAAACAGAAAAAATAAGTAAAAACATATCCTAAAAATAAAAGAGAGACAATTTTTCTGTGTGTGACAAAGTGACAAATCTCTCCAGGGAGGTGTAGAGCATACATGAACTCTCACCCCAGGAAAGGGGACCCACAACTGCATATACTATCTATATCTATATACTACATATCAATGTATCTTCTTGTGTGTTTATCAGAGGTGAAGCTTGCTCTTCAGACTCTCTTTTCCCTGTTTAAGAACTAAATGTCCAAGTGATGCCAGCTGAGATAACCTTAAATGTTAATGGCCTTAACTAGCCTGTTGAACAGGGCAGGGTTTCTTTCCCTTTCTTATGTAACCTCTTTGAGCTTATCTCTGGGGGTGGCTCTCAGTCATCACCCTACATCTATTGGTTCCTGTTGGGGTATTGTAATCACAAGCTCCTATTCTAAAATGGCCTGTGCTCTCAGAAAATTATGGGTTCTGAGTAAATTACCCACTTGAATGTCTTCTAGCTTCCTCCCATACCCCACTTCCCTTAGGTTAATGAACAGGCAAGACGAATATGGGTGCCTTTGTATTTGGTGAATAGATATTCAGAATTGAGACTTCATCTTGATGGATTTTTCTTGTGATGAGTATGAAATGCCCTTCTTCATCTCTTTTGATTGATTTTAGTTTGAAGTCTAATTTGTTAGATATTAGGATTGCTACACTAGCTTGTTTCTTAGGACCCTTTGATTGGCAAATATTTTCCCAACCCTTTATTCTCAGGCAACGTCTGTCTTTGAAGTTGACGTGAGTTTCTTGTATGCAACAGAAAGATAGATTCTGTCTTCATATCCATTCTGTCTGTCTGGCATCTGTGGTCTCTTCATCTTGGTAGAATATCTATCCAAGACCTTCTGGCTTTCAGAGTTTCCATGGAGAAGTCAGGTATAATTCTGATAGGTTTACCTTTATATGTTACTTGGCCTTTTTCCTTTGCTGCTCTTAATATTCTTTGTTTATTCTGTAGGTTTGGGTGTTTTGATTATTATGTGGCAAGGGGACTTTTTTTGTGGTCCAGTCTATTTGGTTTTCTGTAAGTTCTTACTTTCATAAGTCTTTCTTTAGGTTGGGGAAATTTTCTTCTATGATTTTGTTGAATATGTTTTCTGCACCTTTGAGCTGGGTTTCTTTATCTTCTTCTATAACTATTATTCTTGGATTTGGCCTTTTCATGGTGTCCCATATTTCCTGGATATTTTGTGTTAGGTATTTGTTCAACTTAAGATTTTCTTTGGACGATGAATCTATTTCCTCTAGTATATCTTCAATGCCTGTGATTCTCACTCCCATCTCTTGTATTCTGTTGGTTATGCTTACATCTATAGTTCCTGATAGTTTACCCAGCTTTTCTATTTCCAGCATTCCCTCTGTTTTTTTTTTAATTGTGAGGCCCTCCATGGGGGATCTTCAAAGTCTGTCATATCATTTAGGGGAGGGTGGAGCAGAGCCCAGACTCACCTCAGGCAGTAGGCAGAGGGCAGAGAGTGGAGGGGGGACAAGGACGAGGTGTGGCCAGACTCAGGGTGGGCCCCCCTGGCTGGGCAGGTCCACTCTTGTGGAGGCTCAGGAAGAAGGAGGGGGGTAATGGGGGGAGTTGGGGCCAAAGGAGAGCCTGTTTCTCCTGGATCTTAAGATAGTTGAGAAGCTGGACTCCATCCACCCAATGAGAGAGCTTCTAGGCGATGACACGATATCTTCCTAGCCTGGCAGGATGTTGTTGGGTAGAAAACTGGCAGAGATTACAGAGGCAGCCTGGCACATAGTGCCAAGGTTAAACTTTTTGTTCTTCTGGAGAATTCATGAAAAGGAATCATTTCTTTGATAGCCCAAGTCAGCAAAGGCAGAACATTCACACTGACTTCCATGCTAACTGCCTGCGGTTGAGTTTGCCTACCCCCTACCAATGTGTACATCCTTTTTATTGTCCCCAAATTTTATTCTCTTCAGATATTTTTCTTTCCTCTCTCACATGTCTCATGTGTTAGCATTTTGTACCACTGACCAATTAAATGTTCTCTTTGTAAAATCACCCAATGTCTTAGAGTCAGTCCTTGACAGCTTCTGTCTGGGTGTTTTGAGAGGTATTGCCAAGGTTAGTATGACAGGTATATAACCAGAATGGGCCAGCATTTTGGTAACATTTCCAATCAATCTATTTTTAAAACACCTAATTTCCTCTTACAATGAACATGATCTTACCAGTCACAGGTAATCATATCAACACAAAGACTCCTAGATTTATTTGTTTATTTATATGCACCAAAATAATCATAACAGGCACGTGCATTTGCAAACTATATTACTATTGTGGTTTGTTTTTAAGCTTAGTAATATATTTTATCATTTGGAAAGTTGTACAACACACCATGATTTCAGGGGAAAACATTATCCCATGAATAACAACTACTGGACATTTGGGCTGTTTCCAATTTTAATTGCCACAGTCAGTGCTTATGTAAGTGTCTTTGAACCATAAGACCATTGTGTCAACCTCCTATTTCTCTAGTCTCACGCACAGCCATTACACTTGTCTGCCTGCTACAGTAAAGTCCGAATGCTCTGTTGTGTCTCCCAGCATCTGCATCCGTTCTTGCACTCCTAGAGAACGCTCTCAGCTGCTCACTGCCAGACCAGCTGCTCCTCTGCTGGGATCTTGTGGAGTCTGTAGACTGGGTCCTGGTGTGATGGCATGTTCCACGAGCATCTTGACCTATGCAGCTCTGTTGTGACTGCATGCTCTCATATGGTTCCTACACTTTGACATCTACAGAGGGAGTGCCATTTGTTTTGTGTTTTTGACAACTTGATGATAGGAACAATTATATTGTTACTTTATTTAGTATTTCTTTTTCTTCTCTGAAACAATTATTTTTGTGTATGTGCTCAAGCACTCACAATGTGTGTGCATGCGTCTGCTACAGCATGTGGAGGAGGAGCAGAACTAACTCGGTTGACTCAGATTTCTTTTTCCATCTTTACATGGGCCCCAGAGACTAAACTCTGGTTGCTAGACTTTCCCAGCAATCAGCATGCGTCTGCTACAGCATGTGGAGGAGGAGCAGAACTAACTCGGTTGATTTCTTTTTCCATCTTTACATGGGCCCCAGAGACTAAACTCTGGTTGCTAGACTTTCCCAGCAATCACCTTTACCCACTGAGGCTTTCACTAGCCCATTATTTAATATTTTTTATTGACAGGGTATTTGTTTTTATCCTAGTTAATTTTCTACTGCAATAATTATCATATTTTATTAACTTTGAAGCATTCTTTACGTATTGCAGCATTTATCTATTACCATCTTTATAGACTATATAAATATCTCCTAGACATATTTGTTTTGTTCACCAACATTTTCCCCTATTGTTACTTATCATCTCTGTCACCAGCTTCTTAAAAATTGGTTACAAAAACCAAAGGCTAGATATAAAATCAGGAACACATTTAGATGCCTCTTTGGAAAGAACATTTCAGTATTTTGAAAACTGAATTAAAAAGTGTAAAAGCAATGCAATT